AACTCGCTCAAACGCGTTTTGATCCGACCGTATGTTTCATTTCGTTTTGGATTCAATCCCCTCAGATTTTTCGCCTACTGAGCCGGACATTATCGATTGAATACAGCTTTCTGGCTATTGCGCTTTTATAAGGCTCAGGCATTACGGAAAGATTTTTGAATGGAAAAGGATATTTGTGGTAAACGATCATGCCTTATGCATTGCTGTTCACTCATGAATGAAATTGTCCAAGTGATTAAAATTGTGACTGGAGGGAGGTATATTTTTGATGATGCAGATTTTAGTTTTATAAGAAGGAAGGTTTCATTGCAGAGACAGATGGGCGTTGGGAACTATTCACAATATGCAAGTGAATAGTATTGGCATTTCTGCGATGCACTCCCCAAAATCAGTCACCGAAGTTACCGAAAAATGTCAAATAACATTTTGTCTCTCTAATTATTTTCACCTTTGAGAACTGACTCATGACTGATTTTTAAAAAAATGTAATACAATTTTAGTTCAGGATACATTTATGAAACAAAGAACTCGAAACCGCATTGCAATTAGCAGGAATAATTGTTGTCGAGCATACAAATATATTCGATAAACGATTCCAAAATTTAAAGAATTTACATTCAACTCTTGAACTGGGTACCCGGTATGTAGATTTCTATCGACACCAGCAAACTAGATGGCTCAGTTTACGGTGTCATGTCATAATGTGACATTAATGGTTCTTGGCAGTCAGGTGGATAATATGCTTACTTGTGATACTCAGGGGTTCGCCTCCGCAGTTGAATCGAGGAATTCGCAATGCGCGTTATACACAAAGGCTTTACAGCATATCAGGGCTCTCAGTCCATTCAGCCTTAGTACTATTTCGAACGAATTTCATTCCAGTACTGCAAGATATTTCTTATGATTCGAAGTCGGTGTGATTGTGTGAATGTTTCAAAGGTTTTCAGATACTTATTAGAGATTTTGATCAGAAATAATCATTTTGGAATGCCAATATACTGACGGAGGCTCATACGCATCCAACTAGCTCCACAAAACGTATCGATCGAAATGGATTGACCACACAGATTTGTTTGTAATATATGCAGATAAGTAGTCTGAAATTAACACTTCGCAAGAGTTTTTTTTGTGGTAAGTAGGCGGTAGTGGAAAATCACTTATGGTACAGATACTCTATTAACGGAATAGAGCTTAGTGTATGACAAAGAGAACTACAGGCTAGGAGAGCTGGCGAGCAGGATATGGTGAGGGAAAATCATTTACAGCCGTATAGAATAGATCAAAGGTGACAGCTCATGCAAACTAGAGCGCAAAACTGCAAGGCAGAAGAGCATTCACTGACCAAGATACTGATTAGAATGGATGGTGAGGAACAGAAAAACTGTACGTGCCATGGATCAATGCAAACGTGTACAATCAGTTAAGGGAGGAGATAAAACAGAGACTTCACTTTGTACATAATTTATTCAGTATTCAAATGACGATCACAATCGCGTCTGAGGCACGCTCTTTTACCTGCTTTTTTCTAAAGAAAAACGTGAACTGTAATAATCGCAGTTTTTGTCAAGCGATGTTGTATTATATTTTTTGGCAGTTAGTTTATTCACAGCCTTTATCTTGTCCATGAGACAATTGAGAATCGGGCTATTAATTCATTGCACTGTATCTTTGTCTAAAGTCGCATGATGCTTCCCGCCATTGTGTTTCTTTAATTCCCTAATCCTATTCACAGTTATTCGTAAACCCAATTATACGTCATCTCATGTACTATTGATGACTTCTTGCTGGCACAAGGACTCAGTTCATTAGGTTTGGTGAGCAAATGATCTGCTGGTGTGTGTGTGTGTGTAAGTGTGTGTCTGATAGAGCTCATAAAACCGAATATTCTGCAAACACATCCAAGTACAATTAAAACTAGGAATAGTATGCTCCCTATCGGGATGAACATATCAACACTTATGAATATCTGTGAATTAATTAACCAGATGCAAAATCCACTGATATAGCAGTACGCCTAAGTTCATGTAACCACCGATCATGTGCCCCAGGGGGGTAAAGGATTTGAATTTACAACGCAAAGGTTATCGGTCCAATTGCCGTTCTATGCATGCCGAACTACTACATAGTGCTGATCAGTCCAGTTCCAGTTTTAGTTTAAACAACCATCAAGCAGTCATTTCTGTGCGGCGGTTTCGGTTGCTGTCTATTGGCTTCTCATTTGGGTGAGCAGTAGAAGGTAAATAGGAAGGTTGAAAATAGGATCGAAAAGAAAATTGAGAAGTTCAGTGAATTATTGATTCAGAGAAACTGACAAGATGCACGAACACCGCTGTTACCGACACTCAGCCATATCAGTCAGTGTGTCTAACCATCGGTTACGATCAAATCGAGGTCCCCATCCAGGGAGCCTAACGGGACCTATATGACCCTGGTTAGGGTTTTCATACCCTCTTAGCNCTCTTAGCTTGACCACCCTTGGCTTTATTCCACCCACTACCTGCCTCGGCAAACATCGCTCGCCGTGACAACCTATTTGGTGGCATGCGTAACACATGCTCCAACCAGCGTAATCCATGTAGGTCAACTACCTGCTCTAATGGACGACCACCAATACCTAAACCTCTAAGCCTAACCTCAGCATTACTCATCCGGTTACCCCACCAGACTGGTGCAGTGCGACGTGG